GTTTTAAATCATTTTCTGATAATTTCAAACTTACAGAAAAGCTGAAAAAATAGTAACCTTGGATGATACAAGGTTTAGGGGTGCTATCTTCCTACATAGTTGAAGATCTGAGTATAACTTTTGACTCCTCCCAAACTTAACTAATAGCCTACTGTTGACCAGAAGCCTTACTGATAACATAGTCAATTAACACATTTCATGTGTATTATATACTGTATTCTTACAATAAAGTAAGCTAGAGAAAAAAATTTTATTAAGAAAAATCATGGCTGGGCGTGGTGGCTCACCCCTGTAATCCTAGCACTTTGGGAGGCTAAGGCAGGAGGATCACTTGAGGTCAGGAGTTTCAGACCCTATCTCTACTAAAATTAGAAAAAATTAGCCAGGCATGGTGGCGCATGCCTATAGTCCCAGCTACGTGGGAGGCTGAGACAGGAGGATCTGTTGAGCCCAAAGTTTGAGGTTGCTGTGAGCTAGGATGATGCCATGGCACTCTAGCCTGGGCAACAGAGTGAGACTCTGTCTGAAAAAGAAAAAGAAAAATCATAAGGAAGAGAAAGTATATTTCCTATTCATTAAGTAGAAGTGGATCATCACAAGGGTCTTCATCCTTATCTTTAAGTTAAGCAGACTGGGGTGGGGAAGAGACAGGGTTGGTCTTGTCTCAGAAGTGGAAGAGGTGGAGGGGGTAAAAGGGAAGGCAGGAGAGGCACATTCGGTGTAACTTAGAATGGACCTGTGAAGGTCAAAGCCATGTTGTTCAAGGGTCAAGTGTGCAAACAATTCCTGTTTGTCTTTCACCCGGTCCCCTAAATGTTAACAAAAGATATGGGATTCTTAATTGGTTTGTATATATTTAGAAATTGCCTTAAACATTGTGAATGCTAAGGCTTATGATTGGTAAATTCGAATTAAGAGGACAGAAAGACAGAGGAAAGGGAAGAAAGTGAAGATGGTTGCATACAATGATGTGTGCACTGCTAAGACTAATACACATTTTTTTAAGCATATGTCTAGTCGAAGAAGGTGTTTTCTCAGGCCGATTCCAGGATCCTTAGGGCATGTATTCGTGCCTTTCAGTCTTTTTTGGCATAGTTATTTCCCCTTGTACAAGTGGACCCCTTGTTCCATAAGTGAGAAAGCAAGCCCATACCTGGATTAATAAGTATGATTTAAAAACATTTTTCAGATAAATCTTTTATCAGATCCTGACACAGTTCTTTTGGATCTTCTGTATGTAAGTATAGTCACTGAAGAAGGCTTACTTTTAGCTATTTAAAAATGAACTTCCAGAAACTGGAAGTCTGGATAGTACATAATGATCATAATGTTAGTAATGTTGCTTGGTGTTTTATAGTTTTAAAAGTACTTTCTAATTTCTATACCATTAGTGAGTTACCTGGTTTTGCTGAGCTTAATTTGAATATTCTACAAAGAAGCAGAGTGTCTCAGTGCTTCCAGCATCTTATGGACAATTTCTAATTGTGCGCAAGAACATTTAACCCTAGATGTTCAGTATTAGGCCAAGCAATATGGATGTAAAGAACTGGTTTCTGTCCAGAACCAAAATAACTCCTTTATATTTCTCTCATTTTAAAAAAGTCTGTTAATTGAAGCATTTGAAGCTAAAGGAATACCTGATGAGTTTAGGAAATTAGTCATCAGGGAGCTAATATCTCTTACTGGGTATAGAAGTTGGTAGAAAGCCAAGTATCTAGAATTGGTGATGTTATTTGAAGAGAAGCCTGGTTAAATTTCCTCTTCATTTTGGGGGCTCAGATTCTGGTCAGTGCCCAGAGAAAGTCAAATTATGAGGGTTTTCATTTGCTCATTGATTCAATACATATTTGAGCGCCAGGTCCTTAGTTGAGGGTGGGCTATGTCTGGTGCATGATGAAATAGACACCATCATCAGGACTGTCAGTCTAAAGGTGGGAGATGAACACTGATGAAGTAATCACACAAAGATATGTATGTGATTGGAAATGTCAATGAGTGCTATGCAGAATTACAGTGTCCGGAGACTAGGTCAGGTTGCTGTTCATGATTATTTCTGGAGGACGTGACATTTGAACTTGAATCTGAAGCGTTAGCTAGGTGGAAGGGGTGGAAGGGGTGGGGGAGGGAGCAGGTTCAAGAGCTCAGTGGGTTTAAGAAGCTGCAAAGCTGAAGGGCTTTGTGTTTTAAAAGATTCATTTGGACCGCTGTGTGGAAAATGAATGGAGGGAGATGAGATAGGGAGGCCAGTTAAGAGGCAAGTGAGGACTAGAGTGGGGATATGGAGAGGACGGACAGAGGCTTACTGAGAAAGTAGAACGGCCGGGACTTGGTGGCCGAGTGGATATGGCGGATGAGGAGATGTGAGTGGACATGGGAGAAGTCAAGGCTGACTTCCAGGTTTCTGGCTTGAAAGAGTAAACAC